CACTCGTATCTGCATGTAATATTCTATAACTTGTTCTGTTTTTCCTACTGATGAATTAATCTATTGTTTATTTTGTATTCCTCTCCATTTGATACTTCAGTAATGTAATGTGCTACTTTGTCTGGTGCAGTCTATTGACATTGTTAAGTACACGGATCCATAAGGACGACCATGCAGGAGATCTCCATGAGGTAGACCACTGAGCGGAAGACCGACCCCCGCAGGAGACCGACTGCTGCGGAAGACCAACACCCACGGGAGACTGACTCCCAAGGAAGAGTGCCACGGTATACCAATCCCCACGGGAGACCGACCCCCTTACAAAAGACATTCATAAGGATGACCGTTGCGCGAAAGACCGCCGTACGAAAGACCTCCACGTGGAAGACTGTAGACACCCCATTTTTTACCGTCCTCAAGACTTAGACGTCATCGCTTGTGCACTCGATGATTGTGTGTTGGTGTTCATTTTGAGCGCCCAAAGTCCTCGGCGGAATGCCCTGTCTTTGAGCCTTTGAACCTTGTTCTTCCTGTGCCTAGTTTTGGGCCAAAACTTGGTGTCTAGACCTCTTGGTGACCTGTCAGCCACCCTCCAAGGCTATAGGCCATGGGATGCTTCTATCGGCCATAGATGTGGCCGGTTGGCCACCAGTGGTGGCCGGTCGGCTATCAATGGTGGCTGATGGCCACCAGTGCCTTTTTCCAGATATTTGTTGCTAGCTGTGCCAACTGTTGCTCACTGAGCTGCATCTCCATACACGTATATGGTGAGATGTTTCTAAGCTCAAGATTTGTTTTTCTATATATGGGGGGGTTCCTCCCCCATTTTTGAGGGTTAGCATTTTTAGAACAAAAATCTCTCTCTCTCTCTCTCTAGAATTTTCTCTCTCTCTTATTATTTTGTACACATTTGATATAAGTCGTTAGGTTTTGCACACCAACCCTTAACCAAATACTCTCACCTTTGGGATGAGATAACTTGGGACCTTCTTTGAGCTCTAGAAGGAGGTTTAAGCTTGGTTTGTTTCCTATTTTGTGCCTTAGCTTCAAGAGGTATAACACTTGTTATTTAAGCTTGTTTTCAATACTTGTTTTGTCATCTTTTCAAACTATTTTTGGGCTAATTTTGAATTGTCAAAAACTCTATTTTTGTGGCTTAAAAGTGTTGGCTTGAGGCCATTTTCAGTTAAGGGGTGGTTCACCCTTCTTGCTCCTTTGTTTGTTAAGCTTTTGTGCCATTTTTCATCACTTTAAAACCAACTTTTTTCGTCCTTTTAACAACTAAATTTCAGAAGTTTTTTAGTGGTAAAAACCTTGTTTTGAAGTCCAAAATTGGAGGGGTTAGCCTCCCCTCCTTGTGTCTTGTTTGCATGCCTAGTTAGCCTAACATGTTAGCTTATTATTTTAGCTTTTTGTGGCTTAAGTCCAGCATGTTTTTGCCTATGAATTAACCTGTTTTGGCTCTGTTTTGGGTTGCTTAGTTCAGTTGAGGCTTGTATTGCATAGTTGTAGTGTTATTTCCTTCACTAGCTTGATGTTTTAATGCTTTGATCATCATTGTTTTGAGTTAATAACATGTTTTAGTGTTCTTTTACACTTCATTTCAGCACTTAAAATCTCAGCAATCTCCCTCCATTCTTCACTCTTTTGTTTGCTTTGAAAGTGGTCTTAAACCCCTTGTTTGCCTAAGTGTGAAATGGAGGTGTTGCACCTAATGGTTTAATCCCTTAGGGGGTTCATTACCAACAGTGTAATTCCCCTTTCATCCCCAAAGGAACTCATTTTTTGAGCTATCTTTCCATTAGTGGACACTCACTTTTGAACTTAATCGATTAAAGAATGAATCAGTAATGTAAAATGAGTAAACAAAATGAACAAGTAAAAGAGGCAAGATAAGCATCTTTCGTGTTGCATTGCATGTGTTCAAATTGGACGTTAATTCGAACATAAGGAAAATGAGACATTTCATATTCAAAAGTGATGAAATGTGTCACTTTCCTTGGTCACCATCACCCTTGATCATGCATGATTGGGTGGTGGTCTTTTTGAGTCTTGTTTTGCACTCATCGAACTTGTACAAACTTGGTTCTTTGGCCATCATGCATTGAAATTGCTTGATTGATGGTTTGAGAGCCAAGAGTTTCACTCCTTTGAGCTTGTTTGATGATAAGGAGTGTAAACAGTACACACAAACCTGTGAGAATACACTGTTTTGCTCTGTCTGCTCTCTGTTGTAGCCAAAAGATTCATGTCTTCAGTGGCCGACCGGCCACCATTGGTAGCCGACAGGCCCCCTGTCGGCCACCAATGAAATTTACATAGTGTGTTCCTGAGGTGGAGTAGAGGTATTCAGGAAGTTGGCAGAATTTTTGGTGTTCAAATGTGCAAACAGAGGCTCGCAGTAGTAAAACGGTGGCTTTTCGGGTGGAGGAACCGAGCACGCATGCATCCCTTGTTTCCCGAGGCCGTTTAATTAACTTGTCTAGTTAGTTAGTTGTTTAATTGGTGTTATAATTAATTAACTTAATTGCTTTGGTAATTAGTTAGTTAAGTATTGTAATATTTAATTAGATTAGAATAAGTTAGTTAATTCGTTTTGTGTTGTGTAATAATAGTTAGCTTAATCAGCACAGCTAGTTAGTTGGCTTATCCATTCGAACCCTTCTTCGTGAGGGCATAATGTTGTAATAAGTATGCGTGCGTGTGTGTATGTCTTCCAACCCCACGTCTTTCTCCCTTTTATTTAATCACTTTTGATGGTTAGATTAGGGACATTTTCGATTAGCATACCTTATGCTTGCATGTTTGCATCCATTCATTTTTGTATTGCATGCACCGAGGCTCGGCGCATCATTCAAACTGTATTGCACTTTCAATATCTTATTTGAATATGTGTTTAAATCGCATGTCGTTCAAATTGCTTCATATGCCATATTAGTAGCTGAGCCTATTAACTGCATTATTGCATGTGTTGCATTAGGCATCTTAACATAGTTAGGATCATGCATCTTTTTAACTAGTTTTTGTTTTAGCATGAAGTACTAGGTAAGTTTTTACGTTTTAGCATACTCTCATAAGTGTGAATGTTGCCATGATTAGCATGCTTGCCATGAGGCTATGTGCTTAAATGTTAGATTGCATGAATGCCTGTGGATGAAGGCTTGTTGTTTAAATTGGAACAATTCAACGAACACATGTTTTAAGCCCACTTTGTTGAGTGGCAAATCATGTTTTAAGCCCACTATGGTTGGTGGCAAATCCGCATCTTTAAGCCCACTTAAGGTGACAATTTCAAACCATTTTCGCAAACAAACATGAGTTGAATTGTTCCAAATTGAGCAAACTAGTTTATATTTGCTTGCGCGCATCACATAGTAATGCTAGTTTAATAACCGGAACAAGAGCATATAATGTTTATAAAATATCATATCATGATTATTAGAGGCCGATCTTTGATCGGGCTAGCAGGGGTGCTCAATTCATGACCTTCCCCCTTTGTACCTAAGTTCCCGAGCCGAGGCAACTTTGGTGATGACGGACACGTCGCCTTCGGCACAAGATAGGGTTTCCTAAATTTCTCCAAAAATAAAATATTTAGGTGGCGAATCTGTATTTGGAAAAGCAGTTCAATTTTGGCATTATTTGATTTAAAATTGATTTTCCAAAAGATTTGCCGGATTTGGACTCTTTGGTGTTTATCAGTTTCATATTGCACTTGTGAGACTAGATTCAGAACTGCGGGAGTCCCAACTGTGAGGCCTTTCTTTTCAAACCTTTCCAAAAGGCGGGGCGCAAGAAAAAAGGCGAGCCCACAAAGACCTCCACGTGGAAGACCATGCAGGAGATCTCCATGTGGTAGACCGCTGAGTGGATGACTGACCGCCATGGGAGACCGACCGCCGCGGAAGACCACCCTTACAGGAGACCGACCCCCATATGGAAGATAGGCCACCATGCGGAAGCCTTCTATGTGGAAAACCTCCACGCGAAAGACCTCTATGTGGCAAACCTCCATGTGAGAGACCACCATATAAAAGACCAAAATATTGAACTTTGAAGAAGGTCCACCGACATGGCCTAGAACAAGACAGCTCACCGTTCACACGGAATCACCGAGTACCATCACATTAGATCAAGCAATGGCTCGCCAGTTTGTAAGAACACAATCATGCGACAAACGAGACACTTTTAATTCCCTTCGTTGGACTAAAGCTGCACTCAAGAATGGGGGACTACTGATGGGCATGGCCCAAATCGGTGGCCCAGTGGGCCGTCTAAATGATTCCAAACCTAACTTAGGCCCAGTGGCAAGACAAAAAGAAGATACAAGCCACCTCCTTCCTTTCCGTGATTTCTGCGACATGACAACATGACCATAGCTAGTTACGGATAAGTTGTAGGCTTACGGCCAATAAGACAAGGTGAAAAGACAGAGACATGAGAGCAATCAAGAAAGGGGCACGAGGGGCGAGGAGGCCCAAAAAAGGTATGAAAGATACAAGTAACTCTCTCTCTCTCTACTTTGGCTCTAAGCTTCCATTCATGAGTAAGATATTCATCTAACTTAACCATCAGAGGGTCCTCAAGAAAGAACCCCACCCGCTACGTCCTTCTCAATGGACTTGGTGTAGGTATTGCTAGGAAGACAAAGTACGGCCAACTCGCGGAGTATCCGGATCTTGTCTGACCCATCTCTCGTCTGACAAAACTGTATCATAAGTTAGTATCCCTAACATTTTTCAAATTTATAATATGTAACATTTTTAAAATAAAGATATTATTGATAAATCACAAAATAATAGTGATAGGGAATACAATGTAAAATTTATTCAATAAATATAAATACTCAAATCATATGGAAATGTGCGAGTATTTTGTACAAATTTTAGTTGTTAATTTTTGAACCGTGACCGTTAGATCATTAATGAAAAGTTGTTTTTGTTTTTTGATCGATCTGCTCTGCTTCGAAAACCAAAACTTGGTGCTCGAAAAAAAACCCCCTAATCTTCCTTGTTCGTAAAAAAATTGATCGAACAATTCCTTGTAATTTCTTTGTTTGTGCGTTTGGAATTCAAGATTTTGATTGTTCGGCGTGGCGTTCTTGGCGATGAAATCTTAGTTTTTGATGTTCTGATCTGACGACCAAAAGAAAAAGACTGTGAAAGAAAAAACCCCTAATAATTTAGGGATTTTGAATATGGATGCCAAGGACATTTTGGGATTGCCCAAAACTCCATTGCCTTTACCGCAGGAAAAGAAGTCCAGACCCCAGAAAGATTCTCAAAGAAAACCTGATGGCATTTCGCGTGAGGTACTTCGCTACTTTGCTCTCTCGTTTCATTCAATTGTTTCGAATTTTCTTGATTGGGGTGGTTTCAAATTCCAGGTTTATGCGCTTACTGGTGGTTTGGCTCCTCTTATGCCTTCCATTGATGTTGCTAAACTGAAGCGGCGCACTCAATCACAGAACGAGAAGGTTAGTTAGTGATTGTATAACTTACTCTATATTCCAATTTAGTTGAATTATTATAGAAACATGTTGGGTTGTTAGTCTTTTTTTTTTTTTTTTTTTAAAAAAGTTATTATAGAAACATGTTGGGTTGTTAGTCTTTTTTTTTTTTTTTTTAAACAAGTTTTAGGAGAATTTAGGGCTTAGAACGAATCAGTATTGTGTTAAGAATACTAAATGTCGCTTTTTTAAGGTTGGGTATTCTTATATGTGACTATTATATTGCTTATATTTGAAGCATTAGGTTCTGCATCATTCAATTCTTCAAGCTTAATATAAATTTGATTCCTTAAACGTGCTTTTGGAAAATCAGACCAAGTTAATCTTTCTGATGTATAAACATGTGGTGGAGAAACCTATGTGCGCACCTCAAATGAGTAAGTTGGTTTGCATCTCCAATAAGCTTATGTAGTGCAAAGACTGAATGAATGAATATACACGCGGTATAACTATGTGTTGTTCTTTGATTGTCTGGGTGGCATTTCTTTACTACAAGTTTATCTTTTTCATGTTATGTCAGTGTTTTAAATTCTGGGTTCTACTTATAGTTAGGATAATTTTATGAGAGTGCTTAGATTCTTCCTATAGATTACTTGGCAATGGCTTCCTTTTTCAAATTCAGCTCAAAAAGATAATTTGCAGCTTTACCACTGGGTATGTTTTTCTATCTCTGTTGTGTACATTTCCAAGGATCATTAGTCAGTGAGGCATTTGATTAACTTCTTTTGTGGCTCTTATATTTCTCAGGTCACAGTTGTAAATGTTGTTCCTCCTATAGGTGACTATTCCTTTGCCAAATATAACAAGGTATACATAAGTACACTCGTATCTATATGTAATATTCTATAACTTGTTCTGTTTTTCTTACTGATGAATTAATGTATTGTTTATTTTGTATTCCTCTCCATTTGATACTTCAGTAATGTAATATGCTACTTTGTCTGGTGCAGTCTGTCGACATTGTCAAGTACATGGACCCATAAGTGTAGCCCGACTTTTTCGAAGCCTTCTTTCGGAAGACGAAGAAACCCTACAGTTCGGACGCTCATGGTACTGTATCTGATTCCACAAGTGCAATGTGAAATAGAAAACACAAAGTGTCCAAATCCGGTAAATCTTTTTGAAAAATCGATTTTGAATCAAATTGCCGAAAATGGACTACTTTGCCGATATAGAGTCGCCACCTAAATATTTTTTGTAGAAATCTAGGAAACCCGGGACTCGTGCTGAAGGCCACTTATCCGTCATCACCAAAGCTTGTCTCGGCTCAGGAATTTGAGTACGAAAGGGGAAGGTCCTGAACACATTGAGCACCCCTGCTCGCCCGATCAAATGATCAGCCTCTACTAATCATGTTTGTGATTTTTATCTACATCATGTGCATCTTGTTCCGATTATTAGCTACATTACTATGTGATGTGCGCACAATATAGACTAACTTGCTCAAATTGGAACAATTGATTTCATGTTTGCTTTGCGAAAATGGTTTGAATTTGTCACCGCAGTGGGCTTAAAGAAAACGGTGTGAATTTGCCACTCAACAAAGTGGGCATACAAAATGGTTTAAACTTGCCACCTCGATGGGCTTAAACGCACATTTGATCAATTATTCCAATTCAAGCAACAAGCCTTCATCCACAGGCATTCAATCAGTTTAACAAGTAAGCACTTAGCCTTGTGGAAACATGCTAAACATGGCAACACTCACACTCATGCAAGATGCTAAAGCACTAAAGGCTCACCTAGTACTCCAAGCTAGGATGAGACAACAAAGTTCGCAAAAGTGCATGATTCCTAACTATACAATATGCCTAATGCAACACATGTAAAATACAACTAAGTAGGCTCGGCTACAAATGACATGATTTTGCAACAATTTCATAGCATGCGTTTGAACACGTATTCAACGAAGTATGAAACGACAATGCAGTTTGAATGATGAACCGAGCCATCGGTGCATGCAATACAGATGAATGGATGCAACCATGAGTTATGCTAATTGAAAATGCCCCTAATCTAACCATCAAAAGCTGGTAAATAAAAGGGAGAAAAATGTGAGGTTGGAAGACATACATGCACACATGCACACTTATTACAACATTGTGCCCTCTCGCCGGACGGTCTGAATCAAAGTCTGAATGTCCAAATAAACTAACTATTACAAAATCAAATGAAATAATTAACTAGCTACTCTAAGCTAATTAAATATTACAACACAAAGCTAATTAAATATTACAACACAATGAATAATTAACTAAGCTAAACTAAGCTAAGTAATTATTACACAACACAAATAAATAAGTAACTAAACTAAGCTACTTAAATAAACACAAAACAAATAAATTAGCTAATTACATTAACTAATTAACACTAACTAATTAAATAGCTACAACACTTACTAATTAGCTAGAACTAATTAAGTAACATAAAACTATTATATTCGGCTAATCAAATTGACTAACTAGCCCCGAGAAACGAGGAATGCATGCTCGGTTTCCTCCCGAAAAGACCATCGTTTTGCTCCTGAGTGCCTTTGTTTGCACAGTTGAACTCCAATATTGCTGCTCACTCCACCCTACCTTACCAAAACTCTGCTAAAGTTTGCATCAGTGGCTGGTTGGCCACTGTTAAAGGATGCTGGCCCTCAGCCGACCACAATTGAAGGTTGCCGGCCATGGATGGTGGTCTGCCAGCCACCTGCTTGCCACTGATGCACAGTGATTAAGGTCGAATTGTGCAATACTGAGGCCGTTAATTAGGATCTCTTAACTTTACTTGCTTGTTAAACTATATATTTTATGTCTATTTAATGTCAATGAGGTTGTACATAGTAGGAGCATAAAATAAGAAAAAATGCAGGACTTGTAGAGAAAAGTTGACTTTTCCACATGTGCGTTGACTTTTTCCGCACGTGCGGTAGCACCTCAGAAATCGTGCCGCTGTTTTAAACTTGTTTGAAATACAGCAGACATATAAAAAGAAGGAAGAGAGGCTGGATTAGGGTTCGAAATGTTTGAAGAAGTGAGAAGCTAGGATCTGGAAACTAGACAACTTAAAGCTTGAAGCATGTCTCCCGTGGTGGCTTCTTCTTCTTCTACCTCTTCCCACTCCTCCATAAGTGGCTAGGCTCCTCTTTCAGGGTTTTGATAAAACCCTAGCCATATAAATAGGCTTTCTTTTTGTTTTTCTTTTATGTAATGGTTTGAACAATTGTATGGTGTTTTAGAAGTTTCAAATATACATTTTCCTTTATTTCTTTGAGTCTTCGGCTTTCTGTGATTGTTGAATGCTTTCCATACAATAGTTTTCTTTGCTTTCATATTCAAGGTATGAGACGAGCCATACTACGAGTAACGAGTGGTGTTGCTACCGTAGTTTAGAGTGAACGATTTGTACCACTTGAGATGGTTCATGCCTATACATGAAACGTGTAAATTCTCTTGATCAATGCTTCGAACTTGTAGTTGCGAAGTATTATTTCGTTCAAACCGTAGCATAATTTATTTCAAATTGAAACCTTATTTATGTAACTAGTGGTGAATTCATTACCCTAGGTTTTTCCCAAAAATCAAAAAATCCATTTTTATTTATAAGTGCTAGTTTAATCGCTTTGTTTGTTTTAGTTCTCATTAGTTCACGAATCAATCAATCATTTTATCAAAATTAATTTAGGAATTTAGCAATTAAATTAGTTTAATTTCACAATTGTCCTTGTGGATTGATACCTGGACTTGCCACTATTCTAAGGAATTTGGTAAAGTTTAGTGTTTATTTTTTGTGTGTTCAACGATCCATCACACAGGTTCATCTTGCGGCAACAGAGGACAAACAGAGCAAGAAAGGAGTGGTCTCACAGGTTGTGTGTACCATGTACCACTCTTTATCATTGAAACATCTCCAAGGAGTGACACGCTTGGCTCCAAAAACACCAACCAAGCATTTTCCATGCATGATGGCCAAAAAACCAAGATGTACAATTTCAATGGATGCAAAAACAAGACTCAAAAGCCATAACCCTATCATGCATGATCAAGGGCAATGGAGACCTAGAAAAATTGCACGTTTTATCACTTTTGAGTATGAAATGTTCCATTTTCCTTGTGTTCAAATTAACGTCCGATTTGAACACATGCAATGCAACACAAACATGCTTATCTTGCTCAATTTTACTTGTCAATTTTTGTTTACACATTTTTGTCACCAAATCATCTTTTAATCAATTTGTCCATTGGTGAGTGTCCTCTAAGATGAAAGAAGTGTCAACCAAAGGAATATGTAAGGCAAGAGAGAGATCATGCCGTTGATAATGAACCCTCAAAAGAGGATTAAACCATAAAGCATGGCCTCAATCTCAAGCTTAAAGGATCCCAAGCTTGAAACAACCCTCAAAGCAAATAAAAGAGTAATGCAATAAGGGAGGTTATAGAGATTTAGGGGCTGAAATGGAGTGCAAAACAACACTAAAAGATGCAATCAACTCAAACAAGAGGTGTCTAAGGCCCTAAAACACCATTCTTGTGAGGACTATTACACTACAACTATGCAAAATAGGACTCAAATGCACTAACCAGCCTAAAACAGAGTTAAAACAGTCTATTTCAGAGGCTAAAACATGCTGGACTTAGGCTACAAAATGCTAGAAAAACATGCTAACATGTAAGGCTAACTAAGTATGCAAACAAGCTACAAGGAGGGAAGGCTAACCCCTCCAATTTTGAACTTCAAAAGATATTTTCCACCACTAAAAAATCTCTGAAATTCAATGTTGAAAAGGCCCAAAAAAGTTGGTTTGAAAGTGATGAACAAAAGCACAAAAGCTTTTCAAGCAAAGAAAGAAGAAGGGTGAAACACCCCCTAACTTAAAATGGCCTTAAACTACCACTTTTAGGCCACAAAAACAGAGCTTTTTACAATTCAAAACCAGCCCAAAAATAGTACAAAAAGATGGCCAAACAGATATACAAAATAAGCTAGCAAAGACAAGTGTTATACCTCTTGAAGCCAAAACACAAATGAGGCAATAAATAAAGCCAATACCACCTTCTAGAGCTCAAAGAGGATCCCAAGTATCAGCCCAAAGACAAGCAACTTTGGTTAAGGGTTGATAGGCAAACTTGAAGTGTATCTAAACTTGTATGCACAAAAGTTCAAGAGAGAGAGAGAAATGTAGAGAGAGAGAGTGAGAGTGAGAGAGGATTTTTAGAGAGAGGAAATATTTTTGCTCCCTAAATTTTTCTAACCTTTTCTACGTTTTTCTAACCTTTGAAACCAAAAGAGAGGCCCTCTATATATAGAAAACAAGAACCTTGGTTGAAATATCTAATTAAGGGACAGTCGAAACTTTATGGAAACAGCTAGAGAAAATATCTGAGTTTTACACTAGTGGTCAGCAGGTGGCTTGCAAGCCAGAAGTGTGCATTGTGGGCCACCAGTGGTGTCTGGCCGGCCACATGCTGGCCACCAAAAATCTATTTCCAAGTCCGACTTCAAATGGGCATATCTCATTCATTAAGACTTAGTTCTAGGTCATTCTTGAGTCTAAATTCAAGCTTCAGAAGTCTACTTTCCAATGGAGGTAGCCTCATATCTAAATTCTAAGTGTGCAAAGAGATATGCCTATTTTAGTGAAGGTTGCTCATTTCTAGCTTAATCGG